GGCTACACTCTAAAGAATGGCAGAATGTTAAACAAGAGTTCTTTTGCAAGGCTCCCAATTTGGAAGAGCTTTAAATGTGTCTCCAAAGCCAGGAAATTTAGTCACCCCCATTTTTAACACCCTGCCTTCTTTATGAGCCATGCCTCATCTGGGTGTGTGCTTCTTTATATAAATGCTCTCAATAATCATCTCCATACACAAAGTCAACATGGTTCTGTTTCAGTAAGTAATGCAGTAAGCCTCCAAAATGGCTTTGCTGTTGTGTGATGCCCTGCTTATCTGTTTGAAACACTTTTCCTGTGTATCAGTCAGGAAAAGCAGGCGCAATTAGAACAATACACTGTTATTACATTTCCAAAAATAACTGAAGCTGTAGCTGAGTATGTGCAGGAGAGAAGGTGGAATGCAAGATTAAGAGGGTGCTTGCTTATCGTCAGCCTAATCCAGCTCCCACTTTTAATCAAATCTCATTTCACTGGACTTCCTGGCTCTACAACAAAGTATTGATTAAAAGGATTTTAAGTACCATATGCAAACCCATTTGAGCAGATAAACTAAATAATGATAGTAAGTTTTGTTTACTATAAAGTTTTAAAACTATAAGCTTCCCCAAAGGAGATTTATTGTGGAAGTTATACCAATTCTCACTTTGCCGTCTAATAGGGTACAAAGCAGAGAAGCATTCATTTTCTTGAGAGGCAGATCTCTAGTGCAAGCTGATTAAAATCTTGCAATTATCTTATTAGTATAGAGCTGGAAGTTGGGGGATATGTTTGCAAGGTAAGGCCCCTAAAAAACTGGAGGACAGTTCCAGACTCTCAAAATGTCCCTATTTTACAATGACACCCCTGATTTAGAGAAGCTGTCCTGGTTTCTAATTTAATCCCGGAATGTCCCACTTTTCCTTAGGATGTCGCTACAGTGGTACCTCGGGTTACATACGCTTCAGGTTACATACGCTTCAGGTTACAGACTCCGCTAACCCAGAAATAGTACCTCAGGTTAAGAACTTTGCTTCAGGATGAGAACAGAAATTGCACGGCAGCGGCAGGCCCCATTAGCTAAAGTGGTACCTCAGGTTAAGAACAGTTTCAGGTTAAGAACAGACCTCCAGAACGAATTAAGTACTTAACCCGAGGTACCACTTTATTTTCATTGGAGAAATGTTGGAGGATATGGAGTTATCCAACCCCCAAGCCGTCTGAAGGCAATCCTATATAGGGAAGCGTTTTTTTTAATGTTTAAATATGTTTTTAATATATGTTGGAAGCTGTCCAGAGTGCTAGGGCAACGCAATAAGTTCTGTGGTGTATACATAGCGAAATTATCATTATGGAATGGGGACGCCGCTCAGTTTGCGATGATGATAAATAAGGAGGTTGAATGGAACATTAAAAGATTAAGGCAAAAAAATTTTGAGTATGCTAATAAATCAGGAAAGTGGCTTGCCTGGCAGGTTAAGAAAAGAAAGGAAACAAATACAATTAGTAAAATAGAGGTAAATGGGGAGATGACAACAGAACCGAAGGAAATCAGGAGAGCTTTTGTGGACTTTTATAAGCAATTGTATAAGAATAAGGAGAGGAGTAATAAGAAGAAAATAGAAAGATATTTGAAAGAAAAAGTCATGAGGAAGATCTCACTAGCTCAAAAAGAACAGCTGGATGCCCCAATATCTAAAGAGGAGGTAGAAGAAGCCATAAAAGAGTTAAAAAGAGGGAAGGCACCGGGGCCGGATGGGTTCACTGCCAGTTATTATAAAGAAATGAAAGACATATTGATAGACCCGCTGACTAAAGTTGTGAACAACATTTTAAAAGAGAAGGACATGCCAGGAACATGGAGGGAGGCCTTCATTGTAGTGATACCGAAACAAGATTCGGACCTTACACAAGTTAAAAACTATAGGCCCATCTCTTTATTAAACACGGATTACAAGATTTTCGCGGGAATATTAGCTAAGAGATTAAAAAAGATATTGATAAAGATTATACACAAAGACCAAGAGGGATTTCTGCCGGGCAGACAGATAAGAAATAATATAAGAAATATAGTCAATATTATTGAATTTCTGTCCGAAAGATACGATAAACCAGCCAGCTTAATATTCGTAGACGCGGAAAAAGCTTTTGATAACGTAATCTGGGAATTTATGATAAATAATCTGGAGGTTATGGAGGTGGGCCAGAAATTTCTCAACGGTATCCAAGCAATTTATACAGATCAGAAGGCAAGACTGATAGTGAATAATGTCATCACGGAGGAACTGAAAATAGGTAAAGGCACAAGGCAGGGATGCCCTCTCTCGCCATTACTATTCATAGTGGTCCTGGAAGTCCTTCTAAATGCAATTAGACAAAATAAACAAATTAAAGGGGTGACACTAGGGGTAAATGAATATAAAATTAAGGCATATGCAGATGATGTGGTCCTGACTGTGGAAGATCCTATAGACAGCATAAAGGAAATTTTAAATGAAATGGAACAATTCGGTAAGCTAGCAGGTTTCAGACTGAATAAGAGAAAGACAAAAATGATAGTTAAAAATATGGATAGAGACAAGATGGAACTTTTACAGCAAAGAACTGAGATCGAGATAGTAAAGAAGATCAAGTATTTAGGAATTTGGCTCTCCGACAAGAATATTGATTTATATCAATATAATTATGTCCCTGTATGGAAAGGTGTAAAAAGAGATCTGGAGTCATGGGCCAGATTGAAATTATCACTCTGGGGTAGAATAGAAACAGTAAAGATGATGGTGCTCCCCAAACTGCTATATTTATTCCAAACGATACCAATAATAAAAGGGATAAAAATTTTCAAGGAGTGGCAAAAGGCGATCACAAGATATGTTTGGGAAGGGAAGAAGCCTAGAATCAAATTTAAATTTCTGACAGATATCAAAGAAAGAGGTGGCTTCTCCCTACCAGACATGAGAATTTATTACGAGGCAGCATGTTTGTGCTGGATAAAAGAATGGGCCAAATTGGAGAATAAGGAATTATTAGATCTTGAAGGTGTAAATAACAGATACGGGTGGCACGCTTACCTATGGAGTGATAAGAAGAAGGTACACAAAGGATTTACAAATCACATTTTCAGAGGAGCTCTAATAGAGGTTTGGGACAGGTATAAAAATATTTTAGAGCCTAACATTCCACACTGGCTCTCCCCGCTAGAAATGAAATGTATTAAGACTATTAACATGAGGGGGAAGTGGGGAAACTATGGAGAAATGGTCTTTAAAGAAGGAGGGAAGTGGAAAATAAAACCTTATGAACAAATTAAGGCATTAACGTATGACTGGTTAAACTACTTCCAGATAAACGAAATGTTTAAAAAAGAGCTGAAGGAAAGGAGCTATGAAGATAAAGAATCAATTTTTCAAAAGGAGATAATAAATAATGAATATAAAAATTTATCAAAAATGTACAAAATACTGTTGGAGTGGCATATGAAAGATGTAGAGATGAAACCGGTGATGGAAAAATGGACTAAGGACTTAGGGTATAATATTAAAGTAGAAGAATGGGAAAGGTTGTGGAAAGAGAACATAAAATTTACGGCGTGCACGTTATTGAAGGAAAACATGATCAAAATGTTTTATAGATGGTACCTGTCTCCTAGTAAACTGGCAAAGATGTACAAGGTGGATAACAAATGCTGGAAATGCAAATCAAAGGAAGGGACTTTTTTCCACCAGTGGTGGGAATGTGGTAAGGTTAGAAGTTTTTGGGAGGAGGTATATAACGAGCTGAAAAAGATATTGAAGTATACCTTCGTGAAAAAACCGGAAGCATTCCTACTAGGTATTATAGGGAAGGATGTCAGGAGAAAAGATCAGAAACTCTTCCAATATGCGGTGACAGCTGCCAGAATCGTGTTAGCTCAGAAATGGAAGTTGGAGGAAATCCCGACGGTAGAGGAGTGGAGAACAAAATTGACAGAATACGCTGAGCTGGATAGACTAACAGGGAAAATTAGATACACTAAAGATCAAAAATTTATTAAAGACTGGGAGAAATTTGTATGTTATCTGGAAAGCAACTACGGGGTAAAAATAACGCTAGCGGGATTCAAAGAGGCTTTGTAATTAAATATTAAATATTGTCTAACAGAGATTGGGAGGTAGGGAAGAATAATCGGCAATATGTAAAAAAGAAAGGAGTGCGTATTTAAAGGACAGTAACGAATGATTGTCAATAACGCTGAAGGAAGTCTAAAAGGGATACGAGTGGTGATATAACGAGGTGTCTTAGAAGTTTTGTTTTTGTCTGTATGTTGTACTCTGTATATTATTTTTCTTTTCTTTGTTTTTTCTTTTTTCTATTTTCTGTTCTGTTATTAAAAACCTCAATAAAAATTTAATTAAAAAAAAAAGGAATGGGGACGTCGCTATTTTCATCGGAGAAATGTTGGAGGGTATGTAGTTCTTGGCAGCCTTGGAAGAATGCTGTGCTCAGTAACATTTCTTCACACGCACAACCCTAAATGTTTAAACTGGCGTATTCATCTGTAAGGTAAAGGTAAAGGACCCCTGGACGGTTAAGTCCAGTCAAAGGCAACTATGGGTTCCTTTTTGTTGCAGTCTAGTATGAACAAGAATGAATCCTAGAGTGGCCTATGCAGATGAAGAGTAGTGTCCATGTTAGGGAGCAGGCAAAATCGGCCCGTTTTTGATTGCATCGATTTTTCATTGTCCAGTCTTGAATTCAGTTCTCCACATTTCCACAATAGTTTGGTTGGCAGGAGGGGAAGATTGGCAGAACCCAGTTGGCCAAGTTGAACAGAAGCATACCTTTGCTTGTTCCAGCACAACACGCTCCCCAGACCAGCATAAGGCGGGCTTGGATTGCTCTGTTAGTAGCTCTTTTGTAAGTTTGCAAATGAACTCATCATAAATGCTTTCTTCCTCAAAGAAAGAGTATTTACATATAAAAATGCCACATGGGTTCTGTATTATTTATGTGTTTGATCTTTTCCCCTGGCTTACTTACCATTAGTAGCTTTTCTGATTTCAGTATAAACCGTTTCAGGCTTCTGTACAACAGGAGCTGGGGAAGGTATCAATATAGAATCAGTTACTTTGCGTTGCGTGTTTTAAAACTACCCTGTCATCTCAAAAGAAGGAAGCACATGACTACCAATTAGGAAAATGGCCTTTACTATCTGTCCAGACCTGAAAGTGCACTATAAATAGATGCAATGTTTATCCATAACCCAGGTGCAATTTTGCATCCTGATACACAAATATGAGCAAGACGTACCTCAGTAATTTTCCAATTATTTAGCCAATCCTGCTTATGGTACAACACAAAAGCGACCATAAACAATGAAGCAAGGCTGCAGAGCCAGCCTCCTGACAGCAGCATCACTGCCACTTACCCGGGGCAGGGCAGGGGCAAAGGAAAAGTTGGAGTGGTGAAAGCACAACAGCCTGCCCACCCCAGTTGCAGTTAAGTAGCAACAATATCATTGTCAGGAGGCTAGTGCTGCAGCAGCACCCCTCCAGCCCCTTCAGGTGCAACAAAGTCAACAAGGCAGCCCTTAGTGGGAGGAAGTGTGTGAAGAGGCGGGTCTTATAGCTGACAAAATATGTGTCACTTCCGTAAATCGGATCACTGTGCTCTGTGGAAAATAACTTGCCTAGCTGAGCTGCTGGCCACAAACCTATTTTGACTGCTGAGCCAAGGAGATAAGTAACTCTACAACCTTTAGAAGACATCTGAAGGCAGCCCTGTTTAGGGAAGTTTTTAAATGTTTAATGTTTTGTTATGGTTTTTATATATGTTGGAAGCTGCCCGGAGTGGCTGGGGCAACCCAGTCAGATTGGTGGGGTATGTATTATTATTAATACTTTTGTACTGTTTTATTGTTGTTAGCCGCCCTGAGACCAGCTTCGGCTGGGGAGGGCGGGATATAAATAAAATTAATAATAATAATAATAATAATAATAATAATAATAGGACATCCCTATTTTCGCCAGAGAAATGTTGGAGGATATGCTATGAAGTAGCAGAGTATTGCTGAACTTTTAATACCAACCATTTCAAGAAGTGTGAATGTTTGTTTTTAAAACACACCATTAAACATACACTTCTGTCCAGTTGTTCTAAATTTGGTTTGGTTATTTTTTACGTTTACCAGCATATCTCTGCCAAAATGTTTGAGACTGGCAGCAGTGCCAGTGGTTTTTGAGTGTTTGGGTCAAAGCAATGCAAGATCTGTGCCTCTGCCTTTTCCTGATGGTTTGCCAAAGAGGTCTTCTAACAAGCAACATCCTTGCTTCAGACAATTCATCCCCTGCCAAGTCCTGCTTTGGCTCAAGATATTGACACTGAGCTGGCCATGTAGGGGTTTTCACTTCCAGGAACAAATCCCACGGACCAAGCATGCTGCTTCGTCCATTGGGATAAAAAGTTAGTATGACACCAGACCAGACACAGGCTAATGTTACCAAGTACAGTGGTACCTCGCAAGACGAATGCCTCGCAAGACAAAAAACTCGCTAGACGAAAGGGTTTTTTGTTTTTTGAGCTGCTTCGCAAGACGATTTTCCCCATGGGCTTGCTTCGCAAAACGGAAACGTCTTGCAAGTTTGTTTCCTTTTGCTTAACACCGTTAATACAGTTGCGACTTGACTTCGAGGAGCAACTCATAGAACGCGGTGTGGTAGCCTTTTTTGAGGTTTTTAAAGACTTTGGTGATTTTTGAAGCTTTTCCAAAGCTTTCCCGACACCGTGCTTCGCAAGACGGAAAAAATCGCAAGACGACAAAACTCGCGGAACGAATTAATTTCGTCTTGCGAGGCACCACTGTAAAACTAATCAATGGTCCATGTAATGATTATATTGTGTCACAAGGACTATCATCAGTTAGACTATTTCTTAATGCCATACATGTAAGCCCTTTTTTAAGAGTAAAAGGTCAGCTGCTATTTATATGGCTCCATGCAGATGATAAGCCTATAAATCAATTTACCTGCTACACTCAGCCTGGGAATGGCATATTCATGCTCGTATTATTGAAAAAGGAAAAGTGCTGGCATGCCATTTTGCGGGGAGAGCAACATTGCAATGGCTGCTCCTTTTTGCCTACACTTCCATACACAACAGAAGGACACATACTCAGCATATTATTGTTACTGTGAAAGTGGATTGACAGTGATCTTATCTCTGTGACTGCAGAATGGATCACAATGAGTTGTGCTAGAATCAAACACTGAAGAATAAGGGCAGCCGTTCAGAAAAAAGGAACCCAACTGTTAAGATTATCTGGGAATGCATAATAAAGCTACCATGTCTTCCCTGTTTTCCCCCTTTTCCTGTGGGATTTTTGGACTCTGGTTATGGTATGTGAGTTAGCTCGCTTCCCTAACCCATTCTTTTTTTCTAAAATACCAATTGCCTGCAGTCAACCTTGGGGAAGGATGCACCTTATGCATGCCTGCTCTCTGCAATTAGGATGGTGTGGGTTCATCTATAGGGGATGCAGGGGATATGTCAAGGGCTGCGAGCAAAACTGCATGGTTCTGATGTCCTTTCTGGATTTCTGACTATATGCAGGTGGCTGCAGTGTCCTGTTTATGAAGAAACACCTGCTGATCCTTGAAGCGGAAGCTTTCTTTCTTCCTGTTTACCAGTAGTGTGGAACAACGGTTTTAAGATATAATCCTGCTCCTTCTAAAATGAATTGGGAAATTACAATTGACACCGCTCAATGGTAAGCCCATTGCTCTTCCTGCTATATGTAATGGCACAGCTATTTAGTTACCTCTGTAAGCATCAGCAGCCGACACTTCCACGACAGTATATTCCACCTCGGAATTCTCAAGATCAGGTCCTGCCCCAAAAATAGCAAGAAGATGTTTCTTTGTATTGCACTCTGAACTTGCTGACGGCCTGTTTTTTTGCTATCTCTGGAATAAACCAGGCACACTCCCATTGACTTTAGAGGATGCAAAAACAAAGCTTGTGTACACTACATCTGCAATTCAGATTTTTTTTAGATCCCCCCCTCCTGCTTTGGAATCCCAATAAATGCAGCAGATTTTCCCTCCACCAGTGACCAAAACAAACCCAGAGAGTTGGACAGACTAGTAGGGACTTGCTTTTGCCATGTATGTGTGGACAGGAGGAGGAGGAAGAGAAGCCATGGTACATTTAACCCGACCTCTCCTTCCGCAAAATCTCTCCCCCCTTATCTGGGGCTCTGAAACAAGAAGTGGCAACTTCAAATACATATTTAATATTGTCATTTAATTTTAAGTAAATGTGGAACCCACCTTTCAAATAAATTGCTGCTGAAGAAGCAACCCATGAACGAGCCATGTCTGGTAACTTGCAATTAGATTTATTTATATTTATTTGTAGTTGTTACTTCTCTCAGCGGATATGTATTTATTTTAAATATATATATAACATGCAGATCTTAATTCATTCAACAATGTGCTATTTATAATTGTTTGATTAACAGGAGGCTGTGCTTAAAATTTCTTTGAGTGGGCAGTATCAGCTAATTTTAAACCAAGCAAAAAGGAAGTCTAGCACAAAGTCTGACACAATCCAATGCGTAATGGAGGTATCAGTCTTTCTAAGAGCTAGACTAGAGGATATATTCACTACCTATCTGCGCCCTTAAGTGCAGCATGTTTAACACAAATTGCAGGTGTGATCTCTCCGATCTGGACTGAGATCCTAACATGTGGAGCTTTAGCCAATTGCCCCCTTCTCTGACTCCAACATGGATTTAGGTGCCCATGACTGTAATTCGTATATGGAAATAAATCTATAATGTGCCTAGTAGAATCTAGCAAGACTTGACAACAGCTAACTTGAGCTTTTCCACTCAGTCATTGGATTGGCAATCAGTATAAAACATGGCAGGGACATATCTAAGCATTAAAAGCATTTGCTCATATGCTACGCTAATAGTGTTGACCTTGTGTCAACAAAACATATGGTGGAAGTTGGCAGGTTTGCTTTGCTGTGGGGACGTTGTTGGTGGGTGATAGAAATAAGAATAGATCTCTTTGCATATTCAAAATGTCAAGTGATGTCAAAGCAGCAATGATAAAAAGAAGTGGGTAAGGATCGAAAGGTCCCTCTAAAATATTTTAAGAAGAAGAAGAAGAAGAGTTTGGATTTGATATCCCGCCTTTCACTCCCTTTAAGGAGTCTCAAAGCGGCTAACATTCTCCTTTCCCTTCCTCCCCCACAACAAACACTCTGTGAGGTGAGTGGGGCTGAGAGACTTCAGAGAAGTGTGACTGGCCCAAGGTCACCCAGCAGCTGCATGTGGAGGAGCAGAGACGCGAACCCGGTTCCCCAGATTACGAGACTACCGCTCTTAACCACTACACCACACTTGTAAAACAGGAACAAGCCTGATTGGGCTTTCTGTGGAATCTTTCAGTATCTGAATCCAAGTGGCATCCATGTAAATTGTTGTATTTTGAAATTTATCCCCGGAAAAGATATACAAGCAGAGTGAAATCACTCCAAGCTGGAATACATTCTGTTCTAATCCTCAATGAACTATACTCTCTTGAAAAGTTAGAAATACACTCAAAAATAAAATCCCAGAAATTACCTTGACCATCCTCGTTTGATTTTAAATTATTTTTTTCACCATCTTCATTATAACCTGACCCTAAAATGTTAAAAAAACAAAACAAGAGATGAGCAGACAAACTAATTAGCAGCAGTTTTAAAAACAGCTACAACTCCCTTTTAAGCACAATATTTGTATCATCACATATCACGTATAGAAAGTCTTAACCTGGGGTTTTGCCCTCCACAGACTCCAGTGTGCCCCATCCTTGAATCTTCCTTATCCTTGCCTGCTATAAATACTCACAGTCAGGCCCCTCATTTGATTCTTGAGCTATGCTCTACAGCCTGCTCCACTGATGGTTATTCCCTTTTCCTATGCCCTGCTTTTTGAGAGGCTCTCGTGGGTTTTTGGTTTGTTTGTCCCATCTTTTCTGCTTCTCTTTAAGCTCCTTTGACCAGCTTGAACTAATTCAGACCCTCCAAGTGCCCCTCTTTTCCAGGGACGTCCCTGATTCAGAGAAGCTGTCCCAGTTTCTGATTTGATCCCGGAATGTCCCACTTTTCCTTAGGATGTTCCTATTTTCATTGGAGAAATGTTGGAGGGTATGGAGTTACCCAACGCCCGAGGTGTCTGAAGTCAATCCTGTATGGGGAAGATTTTTTAAAATGTTTAATGTATTATGATGTTTTTATATATGTTGGAAACTGCCCAGAGTGCTAAGGCAACCCAGTAAGATGTGTGGGGTATAAATAGTAAAATTATCATTATGCAACGGGACGTCCCTATTTTCATTGGAGAAATGTTGGAAGGTATGCTGATTACCTGGTGACAACTCTTCTGTGCTTTTGACTACACATCTGTATGATGAACTTTGCTTAGATTGACTATGACAGCTAAGGTTTGATCAATTTGACATTACTGGGTCTCATTTTAACAGGTAAAGACTCCAATTTAGGATCATGCCAAGCCAAGCCAACTGATATAAGAGTGTTGTGCTTAATTTCCTGTGTCTGAACATCATACTTAGCAGTCCAGTACACACAATACACAGTCCACCTGAGATTGTCTAGCAGGCTCACACCCTCCTCAGGTGTGTTTGGTCCTCCCTTTCCTGAATAAAAATTTAAAAAAATAAAAAACTGTCCAGTAGCTCCTTATAGACCAACTAAGTTTGTTCTGGTATAAGCTTATAAGCTTTTTCTTTTTCTCCCCCCCCCCCCGACTGCATCAGACCAACATGGCTCCCTACCTGAATCCCTCCCTTTCCTGGTTAGCAATAAATGTGGTTTACTTCGACATCTGAAACCAGTGTAATCCTAGTTACTGCTAATCAAATGCATTTTTGTATTCTTTACAAAATTCAGATAAATGCAAATTATGAAGGCTAGCTGTATTTCGGTTTGCGGATTGTTTTAGAAAGTGCAGATTGAGTAGGTCCGCCTTTTCATTTGGACTGAATTTATTTTCTCCTCCATCCCTACTTGAGGGCCAGGGTGGCATAGCAGGTTCTACAGTTGCAGCTAAAGGGATAAGGGAAGCCCCCTCCCAAGACTCTCCGACTTCACCCACATCCTTTGAAAGGTGCAGAGGATGCTTGATTTAAATCACAATTTAAATCACTAGTCAGTAAGACTTGATTTAAATCATTTATTTATTTTTACAGAAAGACTCATTCTTGCTGGTATAACCTTAATATTTACAACCAGATGAAGGTTTCATTTTTGGAATAAAAAAATTTCAGGGTAGTTTTTACAGTTATTTCAAAAATTACCAATTTGGTTAAACTATTAGAAATACATAGAAAGGTAATTATGAAATTATTGTGAGGTTTAATAAGTTAACTGTTTATTGTGAGACACTGGTGTTGAGTACAGTATAAGGTTGGGCAAGAAGAGTGGGGAGAGGCTGATATTCTTTTGCATAGTGTATGTGGTAGGTTCTTTCTATTCATTTATTACATTTCCTTGGTAGTGAGAGGTATTGGGGGGGACAGGGTGTGGTTGGTTATCTGTGCTTGGCTGCAGTGGGGATTGTTTGCATTTGTGAGGGTGGGGAGGGCTTGGTGAGTCAGGTAAGCCAGGTTGATTCACATGCTGTTGGTGGATTCTTGTTGTCTTGTTGGGCTGTGTATGTGATAAAGGGGAGCCATACTGGGGTGAAGGCGTCCTCTTCTATTTGTTCCCGTGTCAGTTTCTGTTTATTAGTTAGCTTTTCTATTAAGGCCGTTTCCCATACAATTTGATACCATCGGTCCATGTTTACTCCTGACTCGTGTCTCCAGTGTCTGACTATGAGGCTTCTTTCTGGCTGCTGAGAGTAAGTGGGTTATAAAATGTATATAATGTGAGTGGTCATTATGATGGAAGAGGTTCAGTAGGGCCAGTTCTGGGGTGAGTTCTAATACCTGTTTAGTTATTTTGCATATCTCTTGTAGGACTGCTGTCCAGAAGGGTTGGATTTTAGGGCATTCCCACCACATGTGGAGGTAACCTCACAGGGTTGTTGTAAGCACACACAAAACTGAAGAACCATGTATGCCACCATGAGCTCCTTGGAGGAAAAGATGGGATATAAATATAAATATATAAATATAATTAATAATAACAAAATATGTGGCCCATGTCCCTATGTAACTGTATCTATCAAAGCCAAGTGCATCTGAAAAGCAAAATATAGTCAACCCTTTTGGGTATATAAATAAGAATCTTTCGTTTGGGCCAGGTTTGAATAATGGCATGATTTCAAGGTGGAGGTTCTAAGACTAGGAGAGAGAAAGGGAAAAGGAGTCTGAAGCAGACACTATCAATAAGGTCATTAGCCATAAGCTACCGAAATAGAATTCCCCTTCATTATTCTGTCGTGGTGTCAGCTTCTCACCCACTGAATTGGTTGCTGCTATAGAACTGAGAAAAGAAAAACAGAACAAAGAACAGAATATGAAGCACTGGTAGTTTAACAACAGAAGGTCATCTTTTAATAAAGCTCAGTCTTCCCCTTGATCTCAGGGATATAATTCTGGGGACATGCAATCTAAAGAATCACGGATTTCCACAAATGCTTCTAAGACACTAAGCTGTTTCATAGATGTGCAAAGGCAACATGGGATGTGCCTTTTGATGGTAAGCACCCTTATCACAGTTGGATGCGGGTGGCGCTGTGGTCTAAACCACTGAGCCTCTTGGGTTTGCCGATCAGAAGGCTGGCAGTTTGAATCCCCGCAACAGGGTGAGCTCCCGTTTCTCAGTCCCTGCTCCTGCCAACCTAGGAGTTCAAAAACACGCCAAAAAGTGCAAGTGGATAAATAGGTACTGCTCAGGTGGAAAGGTAAACAGCGTTTTCATGCGCTGCTCTGGTTTCGCCAGAAGCGGCTTAGTCATGTTGGCCACATGACCCGGACTTAACTGTCAGGGGTCCTTTACCTTTACCCTTATAACAAGTCCCTGGCAATTACAATCTAGGTTGCCTTGGCCCCAGGTAGGCCATTTTTCATTGGAAATGTGATACCAGAAGAGCCTCAGATCTGAAGGACGACAAAAAGCCGAATTATTCTTATAAACTACTATTTATATTATTTTTATGTGCCATTTTGGGGAGGGGGTGTCCTGCTTTGCCTTTAAAGTGGCTCACAACAATATGAATAATCCAAAAGCAACATAATTATTTGGAAACAAACTAATTTGTTTGCCTGGGTTGTTGAGGCATAATGCTTCCCTGCTGCAGTTAGATTGTGGCCCCCACCCCGCCAAGCCAACTTTATATTTTATCTCATTTGTTTGCTTTAGTATTTTAACACTTAAAACCACACTAGCAGAAAGGCAGTAAAATGACTACAGGGAGAGGATAGCACCTCAGTGGCATAATCTTCTGTTTTCTTTACTCTTCTGACGTTCTCAACACAAACTCCTATACAGTGGTACCTCGGGTTAAGTACTTAATTCGTTCTGGAGGTCTGTTCTTAACTGGAAACCGTTCCTAACCTGAAGCACCACTTTAGCTAATGGGACCTCCCGCTGCTGCTGCGCCGCCGGAGCACAATTTCTGTTCTCATCCTGAAGCAAAGTTCTTAACCTGAGGTACTATTTCTGGGTTAGCGGAGTCTGTAACCTGAAGCATATGTAACCTGAAGCGTATGTAACCCGAGGTACCACTGTATCTGCTTGGATCATGGTTACCATTTCCACCACAAAAGATTTGCACAGGCAAATGACACATCTGTGAACGGGGCAGGGGTGAATATACAAACCTTATCCCCAACATCCGTGTGCTCCTTGCATCCCACCCACCCTGCCAGCCCCCAGTCTTCCTCCTGTCGTATGGGTGATGTCTGCAAAGGGCTTTTGCTGGCATTTTCGTGCATATGAATAGAACACCTCCTACTATTGCTGACTCTGATAAAGCAGGGCTTTTGATAACATAGAGGAGTCTTCTTGCGTTCAAGTACCGTATTTTTCCCTCTATAACACGCAGATTTTTTTCTCCTAAAAAGGGAGGGGAAATGTCTGTGCGTGTTATTGAGCGAATGTGTGGTCCCTGGAGCCGACTGGGGCAAGTGGAGGCAAAAAAAATCAGGCAAAAATCAAATCGAGCCTCTCGGAGAAGGGAAGCCTGAAAAGAGGAAGCGGCTACTTTCCTGCATTCTGCCTCAGGGTCTTACTGCCCACCCTCCTCTGTTTCCTTGCTGTGTTTGCTCAAACGGAACAAAGAGCAGGGAAAGCCCCTCCCCTCCAGGCAAGAAGAGGGGAAAGAGAGCGTCCTTCATTCTAATTCCTCTCCGTGAAAACATGCAGGAGGGAGAGAGAGAGAGAGAGCGCGCGAGCCGGCTGGCTTGGGTGGGTGAGTGGGGGAAAACTTTTGCCTTCCTTTCCTCCCTCCCGTTATACCCCTCTCCTGCATTCTTAGCCAGCTGCTTCTCTGCACACCCCTCTCTGTGCTCCTTTTCCCTTCTGTGTTTTTCCTTCCCTCCCCACTTAAAATGTGGTTACAAAGCATGGATCCACATGGATCCTCAGGATCTTTGCATTGGGTCAGCCCAAATTCACCATCAGAGCACATAGCATGTCCATGGCTACAGCCTGCCCCCCAAAAATCACGCACCCACTGTTGCCTGGGGCTGCAATGGTGCAAAAACGTGGTTACAAAGCATGAATCCACAGGGATTCTCAGGATTTTTGCATTGGGTCACCCCAAATTCACCATCAGATCACATGTCTGTGGCCACAGCATGAAGCACAAAAATAATACATCCACTGTTTCATTCAGAATGTTTTTCCCTTGTTTTCCTCCTCTAAAAACGATGTGCGTGTTATGGTCAGGTGCGTGTTATAGAGCGAAAAATACGGTAGGTATGAGAAGAACCCCATGCAGTCTGAGGAAGACGGGGGCTGGGGTGGGTGGGTTGTGCGCAAGTATGTTGGGGCAGTGTTTGCATGTGAACTCCTGCTCCTGTCCACCCTTTGAGCATTTGAATGTTCAGGTGGATGCCTGAACATGCCTATGCACAGGACAGCATCAGGGACACATCATCACCACATTTATTAGAAATAACTATTAGCATGGTAAGAAAGCCAACCTACCTAGTCAACTCCAAAGGATTGCCTTTAGCTTCATAAGGGAAAATAACAGCAAGTTACTAACATATACCACATGTATAGAAAGTCAATTGCATAAATAAATGAACAAGCAAACCATGTTAGCACATACGTTGTTGCTGCACTGATGGATGAAGAATTCTTAATACAAACAGTTCGTAGCTCACCCAGCACTGCCTTATGTCCAACAATGAGCATTGGTATTTGGTTGTTAATAACAACTTGTGGTTACTAACCCACAAAGTTATGTGTACAGTATGAATGTATACAGTGGTACACAGGGACAGGCAACGTTGAATTTTATTTGTCAGCTATCGCAAATACGAATAAAATGATTAAACTAAAAACAAGCAAACAGGAATCATTTAGTTAATGTAATGAGCATTAAATACCACTTTCATGAACTTCGCTGTCACACTATAGCAATCAAAAAGACCAAACCCACAGTTTTGACCAGAATATTGTTACTTTCATCAGAATAGCACTATTTAGCATTGGACTATAACTCCCATCAGCCCCAGCCAGCATGGTAAAAAGTCAGGGATGGCAGCAGTTGTAGTTCAACACATTTGGAGGGCAGCATCTAGTCTATAGCCACCCTGGGTATAGACAGAAAAGCATCTGTTCTATTCACCCCACATCTGAATGCTAAAGAAAGTATCTCACCCTTTGCCCTCTTCCGAACATACCACCAGGAAGCCGCAATGGCAATAGCAAGGAAAATCAGAATGATGATTATCACAATGAGCCATTTCTTCCATGAAGCCAGAACAACTAAAAATTAAGGGGAAAGCAGATCATGTGTCAGGCATGGTATGATATCACCACCATCACCTGCAACAACACCACAAGAAGCAACAAATTTCTTCTGATGCTCAGGGGTGCATTTCCACATCAGTATGAAAAATGTGTACAAATATTGCCACCCCCAAAATCATTCCTGTTCTCAGGTTGCTTAAGTTCCAGGTGACCTGTTTACTGAGCATTCATCCTTTCCCACTCCCCCAATCAGACTTTTTCAATAAGGAAAGTGACAGGAAGATGCACTGGAAAATGTGGAATAAATATTTGCTTGACACAAATTCATCCAACCTCAACAAATCAGGACGAATACTCAATGAATACTCAATGGCTAACAACAATAAAATAATACAACATTCTAAAATCATTTCATTAAAATTAATTCAACTCAAATTGATGGCAACCATTAGGCTAAAGTTCTGTGAAGATTGCCAAAGGAGGGAGTCAGGCTGTGCCCTGACCAAAGGCCTGGTGGAACAGCTCTGTCCTGCAGGCCCTGCGGAAAGATGTCAAGTCCCGCAGGGCCCTAGTCTCTTGTGACAGAGCGTTCCATCAGATTGGAGCCACAGCCGAAAAAGCCCTGGCTCTAGTAATGTTGTCAACCCCCCCCCCTATTTGACTTCCCTCCTTCTAACATCAGGAAGAAGCAATGTTCCACTGACATGACACGAGGGCACTGACAATTCACCACTAGAAACCCCAAGGTACCCTTGCCGAACGACATTTCCAGGGTTTCCTAGAACGAGGAAACATCTGCTAAAACCCCTTTAAAGTTTACACTGCAGGTGTGCCTTGAAGAGGTTCGTGAGCCTCATCCTCCTTGCTTCTGGCCACTCTTCTCTTTCCCCTTTATCCCAAGAATATCCTTGCAGAAAATGCAAATACAAATGAAGGAGGATTTGGGGCCCAAGACATTCTGTCACCACACATATTTACTGTCAGTGTACACAATTCTGGAGACCCGTGACCAACAATAACTGTCCAAACTAGGCTACTTTGGAATACACCTATCTGGAACCTCCTGAAATATGGGCAGCATTTGGATCAAAATGCATTAATACCCAAGGTGCTATTTAAAGAATTTCATCAATTTGAATGCTATGGCACCATATGTCCAAATCAATCAATCAATCAATCAATCAATCCATGAACAGAGCGTACCGTTGACAGTCATCATGTTGCTCTCTACAGGTGATTTTGCTTGGTTGTCAGCTCTGCAAAAGTACTTCCCTCCATCTTGGCTTGTAAGGCTATCTCTGTACCAAACAGCAATGCGTTTTGTCTTCTCTGTTACTTTATACAAAGGTTTGGGGTGGTTTTCTCTAAAGAAGGTGAACTCAATAGGATAAGATCCTGAACCAACAGAGCAGGAGATTGCGAGCTCTTTGCCATCTTCCACATCTCCATGTGAAGGTCTCCCCAAGCTTATGCTACCAACTGGAGCTGTGGATTAAAGTACAGAGAAAAGGCTGAACAGCAGTGGAGAAGTGCTGGCTAGATGGCAAATTATAAATGCTGGAAGTAGGTTAAGTTAAGAGCAATTATACATAGAATTCATTTCTAACTAGCATGGGAGCAACCCCTGCCAATACAACCTAGTTATTTAGTACTTTTGTTTCCTTGTTTTTGAGTTCAAAGAAGTCACTGTTTAACATAGTTGCACTGAGTTACATCTTTCCAACAATTACACAAAATTAAAATTAAAAATAAAGCAACAATGAACAGTGTTATCTAAGTGTTTCTGAATGTATTAAAAAGTTGTGTCGAAGTGTATATACCAAAATTATTACAATTATTGCAGATATGAAATGATGTATAGTATAGTGTATTGGTTAGAAGAATTAAAGCATTTAACATTCTAAAACAAAAACAAAGTGCCTCTTTTTAAAAAGCACCAGACACTTACCTATCACTGTAATGTTTACCCGAGTGCTTCGTTGTGGAACGGAATGGCCATTTTTAGCTTCACAACTGTAGTCTTCTGGAACATGTGCATTGGTTGCTTTGACCAAAAACTTTGCCGGTTCATTTACTTTTACTTCTGTCTTGTTAACATATATGCCTCCTCTGTACAAAGTATATGTTATAGGTAGAGTTCCATTGCTGGAATAACAGTTTACAGTGAATAACTTCCCCAGTACTGCTACTTGGGAAGTCGGTGGGGAAAGTCTTGGTTTGGAAACGGGAGCTGGAAAAAGAATTAAATGAAATAGGTGCATAAGCAGCTACATGAATAATGCTGCTTAAAGTCATTTCATAAGGTGAGCAATGAGAAATGCACAAAGCTGCCAGGAAACAATGCTCTGTGCACTTGAAGAACTCTAATCACACAGAGAGCAGTCAAAATATATTAAAAAATATAAAAAAATGTCTAGTAGCACCTTAGAGACCAAGGGAAATGCACTGTGCATGTTTTCAGGAACATTCCCTCTTTAAAATGCCTTCAAGAGGGAAAACCTCACAGGCCAACGTACAGTAATACCTCCGTGAACGTCCGCCTCGTCTAGCATCCATTCTGGCAAACATCTGCAGCAAACCCAGAAGTACCGGAATGGGTTACTTCCAGATTTGCTGCTCGCGCATGCGCAGAAGCACAAACCGCTCCATGCGCATGCACAGAAACACAAACCGCTCCATGCGCATGCGCAGACATGGCAACTTGCCCTGTGTCCTTTTCAGCTAGCGGCCAGGGCTTCAGAACGGATCCCAGTCACAAAACAAGGTATGACTATGCTGATAATAATAATAATAATAATAATAATAATAATAATAATAATAATTATTATTTATACCCCGCCCATCTGGCTGAGTTTCCCCAGCTACTCTGGGCAGCTCCCAATCGAATATTAAAAACAATACAGCATTAAATATTAAAAACTTCCCTAAATAGGGCTGCTTTCAGATGTCTTTTAAAAATAGGATAGTTGCTTATTTCCTTGACATCTGATGATACAGGAAATATGGCTCATTTTTTTGAAAACAACTCCCAAGGCTAAACCCTGATAAAGCACACTACTCTTCCAGCTCTCATTTGTAGAGGTGATTATGATGAATAATATCAGCACAGTATTCTTAGGACTGATGCAGGCTGAATGCCACCTGAGATAGAGCTGATGATGTCAGAAGAAACCCAAGGGATCTCGGGTCTTTGTGCTGTTCCTAGCATGGCTGGCCCTCAACAGGAATGTAGGTTGCAGTGGGTTTTAGTGTTCACTCTCAAGCCATACACAGTTAATTGAAAGAAACTACCAGTAATCTTAACCCACCTGTGAGCAGTAAAGGGGAGTTCCTGTACCATTAACAACCCCTCTTTTCCTTTTTCAGATTGTAAGCCGAATTCTTATTGCTCTTTGTGAGTTGCGGTGGGAGCCTATTTGACTGAAGAGCACTGTAAAAATGTGGACACGCAGCCTCCACAGCCCACATCTCCTCTGAAATCCTGAGAAGGCACCTCTGCCACCACATGCTGATGATTGGTCCACAGAGAGAGCCCCACAGTTTGAAACCCCAGGGCCTAGAAGCAGCTAACAGCTGCAGAGAAAGCACCAGTCTTGTATGGGGCCGGATGCAGTATTCAAGAGGTGGGGCCTTGAGTACCTGAACACCTAGCGCAGGCTGTAATGATCCAGGGCATTGGCTTGAAACTGTCTATCAAAAACTTCACTCTTGTGGCCTATCCCCACAACACCTAGTCACTATGGGCCCTACTAAAGCAAACAGTCTAATTGGTCTACATCTAAAAGATATCGAGCATCAGAACAACCTGGCCACTATAAGAAATTCTGTCCTTAGTACGTTCATTTTCCACCTTTCCATTTTGATTCTCTGGCCCCATATCTGCACAAACTTATTGCAAATAATTCTACTATATCGCTTCATCAGATGAAAGACTTTCGTATTTCTCAATCAACTTACCATAAACATGTAGCCGCGCAGGGGCACTCTCCTTGGCAATCCCATTTATCTCAGCTCGACAAACATAGACTCCAGTGTCGCTTACACGGACCTTGGTAACAGTATAGACATCTCTGCTTGCCACTACTCTGTCGTCTTTTATGACTGAGAAATGTATTGGCAGTGAGCTGTTAACTCGACATTCAATTTGTAACAAACTGTTTTCATCCCATCTTGTTTGATTATGAACTAGAATCGGCTTGGAAAACAGTTCTGCAAAAGATATGTGGGGAACAAACAAGTTATCTATCTAGTGCCTTCCTACGTGATCCATTTATAATATAACAAACAGTTCAATATTGATGGGGGACCTCAGAGGTCTATATAGTCCCAGGCACCTAAAAAAAGCCAAGCCGAGCCTCAGACCATGAGATTTCCAGTTCAAGGTCTGGAATTCCTTACATGTGTTAAGATAAAAGTAAAAAGGTAAAGGGACCCCTGACCATTAGGTCCAGTCATGACCGACTCTGGGGTTGCGGCGCTCATCTCGCTTTATTGGCCGAGGGAGCCGGCGTACAGCTTCCGGGTCATGTGGCCAGCATGACTAAGCCGCTTCTGAAGAACCAGAGCAGCGCATGGAAACGCCATTTACCTTCCCGCCGGAGCTGTACCTATTTACAGTGGTGCCCCGCAAGACGAAATTAATTCGTTCCGCAAGTTTTGTCGTCTAGTGAATTTTTCGTCTTGTGAATTATTATTTAGACAAAGGAAACAAAGTCGCGAGACGTTTTCGTCTTGCGAAGCAAGCCCATAGGGAAATTCGTCTTGCGAGGCAACTCGCAAACGGAAAAACCTTTCGTCTAGCGAGTTTTTTGTCTTGCGAGGCATTCGTCTTGCGAGGTACCACTGTATCTACTTGCACTTTGACATGCTTTCAAACTGCTAGGTTGGCAGGAGCAGGGACCGAGCAATGGGAGCTCACCCCGTCGCGGGGATTCAAACCGCCGACCTTCTGATCGGCAAGTCCTAGGCTCTGTGGTTTAACCCACAGTGCCACCCACGTCCCATAAGATAAAAGTACCCTCTGCTTATTGAATACACATGGTATAAACTCAGACTGATCTTGCTTGTATGAAAGTGCCATGTTATATTGCAAGGCATCACTAATTGACAAGTGTTTCAACAAGTTATACAAAAAATGCTGTTTAATGTCACACAGCTCAGTAATGTCACAAATCATGCACAGTATGAACATTCACTTCACAGCTTTCCCTGCCCCTTCCATTTCTAATTTTCAGGAGATGCCATGCCGTGCTGTGTGGAGTCAAGATGATTAATTTTTGCTCTTTTATTACAAATGGACCTGTTCATTCACCTACTCATTTGTTTAGATGACTGTAAAAGTTTGGGCTTTAGTTTGTTAGTTTTTCAGTTCATCGTTTACATTTTTTTGTCTCCACACAAAGGCACCAAGTACATAATGTATCCTTGCAAAACACAGTCGTTTCTAAAACTCTAAAGCATGGGTTGACAAACTAAGGCCCGGGGGCCGGATCCGGCCCAACTACCTTCTAAATCCAGCCCGCTGACTGTCCGAGAATCAGCATGTTTTTACATGAGTAGAATGTGCCCTTTTATTTAAAATGCATCTCTGGGTTATTTGTGGGGCCTGCCTGGTGTTTTTACATGAGTAGAAGGTGTGCTTTTATTTAAAATGCATCTCTGGGTTATTTGTGGGGCATAGGAATTTGTTCATTTCCCCCCAAAAAATACAGTCCCGCCCCCCACAAGGTCTGAGGGACAATGGACCGGCCCCCTGCTGAAAAAGTTTGCTGACCCTTGCTCTAAAGCACACAAATAAATCAGCAGCTATAATTGAACAGTAATAGCACATCAGACATTAAACATGATTGAAATTCTCCCCTTGCAGCATGGCAAGGCCTGAATCAAATTAGAAGCAGGCCTGACTACATTGCAATTACTCGTAGGTGCCTGCAACTTATGTGAGATTTCTAAAAAGCACTCTTGGGTCTATTGCTTTATTTGAAATAGTCCCTAAACTAGTTGCGTTGTCTGCTAAACCCTTGGGGGGAAAGTCTTCAGACTTCAGCTGGATAAACAGAACTGATTTATTAGTGGAGATTATACATAACCTTTGGGTTGAACCGCATTGCCTGCACATGGTTGCAGCTTGCCTGAAGGCCAGATTGCACATTACACACAAGTACATGGAACTGTGCGATTGGCTACTACCCTTTCCCCCAATTGCAATCGAAATACCACAGGAGGGAAGCCACAAGGAAGGTACGACAATTTGGAGTGTGCAAATAGGGGTGGGGTGGGGGAGGGCGATGCACCTACCGTATTGGCCTGAATATAAGCCGCACCCGAATATAAGTCGCGCCTTCAATTCAAGGGGGGAAAAGGGGAAAAAAGAAAATACCTGAATATAAGCTGCTCCCTTAAAATTCCGCAGGCACTCACACCCGTTCCATTTTACTGTATGTCTATTTCAGCAGCGATATCATAAAAGCCAATTTTTGTAAGGTCGTGAATTTAAGCTGCACTTTAACTTTTCACAGTCAGAATTGGGGGGGGGGAGTGAGGCTTATATTCAGACTAATACGGTATTCCCCTATACTACTGCCCCTCTCTCAATCAGCTTCATCCAAAGCAACTGCAACCAGAACTTTCATCTTTCAGGTTATAAATCTAGATCTTTAGCTATTCCAACCCTGGATACTCATACAAGTCCAGACCTAGTACAAATAAAAGCATTCCATGTGTGTGAATTCGCACAAGTGAGAGAAAGCTCTTACCTGCCACCACAACATTTACTGTGCTGATTTTGGACACGCTCCCAAGTTCTACTTTACAAATATAATTGCCATTGTCTTCCATTGTGGCTACTTTAGAGTACTGCACAGACGGACCAGACTTCGTGCTGTTAAGAATCGTTTTGTTCTTCTGGATTATCATCTCAATTTTGATTCGATCCTGGTGACGTGCGATGGTTGTACAGTCTACACGCAGGTGATCTCCTTCTGTAATGTTCTGTGGTGGGTGGACGGTTAAGGTGGGAACGGAAAACGGTTCTGCAACAGAAGGGGGGGGCGGAACCAATATATATATTTAAACCAAGCCTAAATAAAACAACATGTGCACAGATGGTATAAGATTTACTTTTGGTAGTTTGCCATTCATTCCTACACCTGCTTTTGACTAGAAATCCTTTTACACATGCAGGAGTAATTATTTAAATATTTAGGGATGACAATAAAGGTTAAAAATTGACCAACTTACCAATGACAGTTACAATTCTTTTGTCACTGAGCTCTGATTTCTCAGATCGAGCCCCCAAAGTCTTATGGACCTCGCATTCAAAAAACAAAATGGTGTCCCCCGCATTAATTTGATATTCCAGTTTGGCAAAGTTTTCTGCAAATGCATGCCTCTCCCACTGCTGTTCAGAGTCACGCTGGTGGTTTTTATAAAATTTCAAAGAAAATGGGGCCTTTTCATCTGGTGCTTTACAGCTTAAAGACACCGTTTCGCCTTCCATCACCTCTGTTTTCTCGGCAGTCAGAATGGGCTTCCTTATTCCTTTTGAAACGAAAACAAACATGAGATGTTAATCAGAACATGCTTATCTGAGGTGCAAACTAGGTGTTACTTTAAATACCCCTTGGATGGGATTGCTGGTGCCTTTTTTCTTTATCTTTTACAGAGAAAACAGGAGGAAGAGGCGTGCAGGGGGAGCGCACCGCCCCCGGCAGCACAATCCCAGCGGGGTGCCATCGCGGCTGCCCCCCCGCCCGCGCTGGGTGCCCGGCTCCCAGGATGCACACCCCGCCCCTATGAACAGCGCGTCACGCCCCCGGGATGCGCACCAGCCCCGCCCCCACCTGCTCTTCACACCCCTGTGCCAGAGCATGAAGCTCCGCCACTGAGAGGTGCAGGCACATGGATCTAGATCTCTCTCCATCCCAGTTTCTCACCAAAAAACTGAATTCTCAGTGCAAAGAGCAGCTGGGGGAGATTCCCCCCCCTACAAAAAATCTTGGAGTGGGCGACATAGATGTTTTCTAATCAAAACACACAGGTAATCCCAAGCAAAGGATTTGCCTACATGTTTAAAACAGTGCCTCCTGATCAGTTTGAAAGCGGAACCCTCCTGTAACTCAGTCTTTTGGGATCCACTTGCAAATGAATTCTATCTTTCAAGCCCTACTTTCCCCCTTTACAACAGAAAACACAAGACTATCCAGTCAGTTGTAGAACTAGACAAGTTTTTCTTTTCTTTTCCATTTTTCATATTAATCTAAGTAAAGATAACACAGCATGTACTGAGTAGAATTTAAGCATGTCATATAATAAGGGAGGGAGCAAACAAGCCTGTCTCGTAAAGAGGTTGCTCAGCAGTACTGTTGTGCTATAAATCTGGTGAAATTGACAAAGAGACAAAAACACTGGATACAATATAGGGGCCTGATCAGATGTTGCTTCCCCTTATCTGAATAGGCCCCTAAAAAGGTGAGTTTATGTAGACATAAACTGAAAACAGAGCTATTAGTATATCTGGGAAGACACAGTTGGAAGGTAAGCATTTTTTCCCTGGATCTTATTTGTAAATTGAAGAAGGATGGCAGTTAATGACTGGAGACAGAGCCTTTTCTGTGATGTCCCAGGTCTTTAATTTTTTCTAGCAAAATTAATATACTGCTTGATTGGAATAAAACCTCAAAGCAGTTTACAAAAAAAGTAATACATTAAAATTATTGATTAAAGACAGTTAAAAACAGGCATTCAAAAACATTCCAAACTAATTAATAAGCTAAAAACAGATTTAGACGAATCTAAATTGAAATGTCTGGATAGGTTTACCACTTGCCCAAACAAAAATATTTTAAGCAGGAAAGAGAAAGCGTAGTGAAGGCATGTGACTGGTTTCAATAGGTGGGGAGTTCCAAAGTGTAAGTGCTGCCACACCCAAATACTGATTTCTTACAAGTGTGGAATGAGCATTATGTGACACATGTAACAGTGCCAGTTCCACAGATCAAAGTGGTCGGGTGGTCATATATGGGGTAAGGTGATGTCAGAGATGCTCAAGGCCAACTCAAAACATTTTGGCACCTGGGGCAAACCACAAAATCGCACCCCGTTCCCTGCCAGGGAAGAAGGGGTGAGTGAAGATCTACATCAGGAACAGGGCAGAGAATAAAGGTCAACATCATATGTTGCCCCTGTGGATCCTGCCACCCTAGGTTGTCACCACACTGTGACTCATAGGTAGGCCAGCCCTGGATGACTAGGTTTTAGGCACTGAATCAAAACATTTTTTATTTTCCCAGCCTTTTAATGAGTGATATAATCTCTACTTATTTATAAAAAGGTAAAGGTAAAGGTACCCCTGCCCGTACGGGCCAGTCTTGACAGACTCTAGGGTTGTGCGCCCATCTCACTCAAGAGGCCGGGGGCCAGCGCTGTCCGGAGACACTTCTGGGTCACGTGGCCAGCGTGACATCGCTGCTCTGGCGAGCCAGAGCCGCACACGGAAATGCCGTTTACCTTCCCGCTAGTAAGCAGTCCCTATTTATCTACTTGCACCCGGGGGTGCTTTCAAACTGCTAGGTTGGCAGGCACTGGGACCGAGCAACGGGAGCGCACCCCGCCGCGGGGATTCGAACCGCCGACCTTTCGATCGACAAGCCCTAGGCGCTGAGGCTTTTACCCACAGCGCCACCCGCGTCCCTTCTACTTATTTATAGCTGCTGCTATTATTGTTTTATTGATAGTATTCAATGGTATTGACTTGTCTTTGTTGTGATTTTATTTGTAATTACTGATTATGCTGTTATTGTTGGAAGGTCCCTTGATGGGGGAAAAACTTAATACTGAAAGGCAAATAAGAAATACTTTAAATGAGGAGTAGGGAATCAGTGTGGTCCTCCATATGCTGTGGAACTTCAACTCCCATCAACCCTAGTCAGCATGGCCAATGGTCAAGGAGGATGGGAGTTGTAGTCCTACAACATCTGGAGGGCCATATGTGTAAACAAAAGCAAAAAAGCAAAGAAGGGAGGAAAGGGGGAAATAGCAAAGTTGTTGAGAGAGCAAGGGGAGAGACAGATTGAGAGCAAGGTAGAAATTAGGGGGTGGAAACCCAGTTATAAATGAATTTTAAGCAGTGACAGGACATCCAGGAAGAAACTGCAGGAAGACGTGAAGAAACGATGGTGAGAAACTGAGAGAAAATAACAGAAGAAGCAGGGGTGGGGGAGCTGAAGGTCAGCTGAGTAAAAATGATATCAATGCTAAGAGACGATATAATGAAACTAAACAGAAAAAGAGTAGAGGACCAAGGAGATAATTGGGAGGGACACCAACAGAGAAATCAAAGGAAAGAGTATCAGTGGTAGAGGAAACGATTACACAAAGGTAGATTGAGAATGTAGTGTCAATATTTCATATGCATTAACCAGGTTTGGCCAACATGTGGTCCTCTAGAACTGGTTGAACTACAGCTCCCATCATTCCTGGCCATTGATCATTCTGGCTGGGTTTGATTGTCCAGGACCACAGATCAGCTACTTCTGATATACGCAAATGGTGCTATTTTATTAGAGAAAACACAGGGAGGATGAATACAAAGCACTCACCATGTACTTGAACAGCCACAGTACCACTGGCCTTTTTCTTCCCTTCCACATCCAACGCACAGCTATACTCTCCAGAATCAGAAAATCTAGCCGTTGGGATTGTATAATCTGCCCACTCTTGCTCTGATGAACTATTAACCAGAAGCAGTCCATACTTGATAAATGAAAAAGTATAATTCATCTGGAATTGTTCGCTCTTGCTGATGTCCGCAGAGCAGTTGAGGGTGACCGACTCTCCATTATTCACTTCCACAGATGGAGCAACACGGAGTGTCACGCTATTGATGGTGAACACTGGAAAGGAGGAGAAATGTTAGTGACAATTTATAATCCACTGGCAGAGAGGAGGAGGAGGAGGAATGCCTCTTCTAAGATGGTGCCTTTTGCCAGGGCTCTTGTAAATACAATTAGTCTTGTGACTAATTTGGGTCCATTAACTTCAGTGGGTCCACGCTGAGTGAGAAGAGCACTGGGTGCAACCTTCAGGCGCCTCACCATCCTTGTGACTTTCCTCTAGGTACATTCTAGTTTGCCAATATCCTTCTAAACTGTGGTGCCGTCCACAATGGGACATAGTAAAGGTAAAGGTAAAGGTAAAGGGACCCCTGACCATTAGGTCCAGTCGTGGCCGACTCTGGAGTTGCGGCGCTCATCTCGCTTTATTGGCCAAGGGAGCCGGCATACAGCTTCCGGGTCATGTGGCCAGCATGACTAAGCCGCTTCTGGCGAACCAGAGCCGTGCACAGAAACGCCGTTTACCTTCCTGCTGGAGCGGTACCTATTTATCTACTTTCATTTTGACGTGCTTTTGAACTGCTAGGTTGGCAGGAGCAGGGACCGAGCAACAGGAGCTCACCCCGTCGTGGGGATTCGAACCACCGACCTTCTGATCGGCAAGTCCTAGGCTCTGTGTTTTAACCCACAGCACCACCCGCATCCCATGGACACAGTCCCAAGTAAAGAGTCACCAGACAGATGTTTTAGAGGGGGTGCTTTCCTCATCCAGTCAAAAGTACGACACCTTCTTCCATCCCAACAGAAGCAGTGGGTGGAACTGGAGAATTATAGGTGTCAAAAGCTCCCTTCCCCCCTCTCAGGCTGCCCTAGGTGCCACGTTATTTCGCTATCTTTATGTAGTCCATGATGGCTAAAGGAGAAACAAAGCATGCGATTGGTTGGTACACATACCCTCTATGCAGGAGCAGAAAGCAGGATAAGGAGTTAAGTAATAACAATAACAATAACAATAAATATATTGTATCCCACCCATCTGACTGGGTTGCTCCAGTCAGTATAAAGCAGGCATAGGCAAACTTGGCCCTCCAGAAGTTTTGGGGCTACAACTCCCATGATCCCTAGCTAACAGGACCAGTGGTCAGGGATGATGGGAATTGTAGTCACAAAAACATCTGGAGGGCCGAGTTTGCCTATGCCTGGTATAAAGTACAAAGTATAAAGGAACACATCCAAACAGAAAACATGATTCAAAATCCAAAACTGGACTGCCTTCAGATGTCTGCGAAAAGTTATAAGATTGTTAGTCTTTTTGACAATAATAAATATCACTGACTTATAGAGCAGCCTTGATGATGAAGAAGATGATGGTGAAAGTTTAGGAGAAGCACTGCAGGGTTTCCTTCCCTTTCAGTGAGAGCACATTTTGCAGTACTTATTAAAAACACAAGAAGAAACCCCATCAGTGTTGGCAGTCTGCCGGCTCCTGAAAATACCCCAGTTCAAGCATTCCCGTAACTGAATTTTTGATGTTATTGTTTTAACTGTTGTTTTTTTAAAAAAAACCTGTTTTGTTTCATTGTCATGCTTTTTAAATTTTTGCTTTATTTTATATTTTAGTTAACGGCGTTTTAGCACCCAATGGAACTGTTATTGTGTATTTCCTTTTTTAATTTTAATATTAAAAATATTGATTTATTGCATTTTCATTATGTCTCATTGAGTTTGCAGTTGGAAGCCATTTTGGCACATCAGTGATAATTTAACAAATAAAGCACAAATCTACACCAGTGCACAATGGAAACAAATGGACTCCTGATCCTGAACACTGCTGATCCTGCATCTGATTTTCACAATGGTCATGTGGATTCCTGTATCCCAGTGCTTCCTGACACTATTTTGCTTTCTCTCCCAATACATGAAAGGCCTCACCTTCCAAAGATGGGTAGCAGGTTTTGGGGGGAGAGTTTTTCCCAGCTTTGGTGCTGCTCAGGTTCGCTACCTTTTCGCAATTTATTGATCAAAGAAATTTATTTATTCCAGATTCACCATTTCTCCAAAGCCTTTTTAGTTATCAGATTTTCCATGGAAATTGTAAATAATATGGGAAAGCATTTTGATGAAAATGATGTTTTGTGGATGCTGCACAAAATGTGAAAGCAGGAGCAGCACTGAGTTCACAATAAACTGCCATGCAGGAGTGATCAGCAACTGAACTTTGTAAAACAGGGTTGGGGGAGCTAAGATACTCCATAGTAAAAGGTAAAGGGACCCCTAAGTCTCACTATGTTCAGTGGGACTTATTACATAGTAAGGGTATTTAGGATTGCAGCCTAAAACTGGTATAAAATTTCATTCTTAATCAACAGATTATCTAGTGGTTGCACCAGGTCCACAAAATGATACATTTCCTCTCTGGGGTTGTGATCAGCCTGATAATAGCATGCTTCCCTTATCTGCAAAATTAAGGCTCTGCCTCAGAGCCTTTTGTCTCAGAGCCTTCACACTAATGCACATAGCAAACTCCTTGCAAACTCACAGCACTGTATAATGTAAAGTGCTACTGACTTTTGTGATGAAACCTCTGGCAGCAATTCGCTGAGCTATTATAATGTCATTTATTCTAGGAACTAAGTTGCATAATGTTTGGTTTTGACTTCTTTAAGGGAAAGTTGTTAGTTTGCACTAACACCGGTCTTGAAAGACCTACATTGGCTCCCAGTACGTTTCTGAGCACCATTGAAAGTGTTCGTGCTGACCTTTAAAGCCCTTTAAAGCCCTAAACGGCCTTAGCACAGTATACCTGAAGGAGCAGTGTCATTCTGCCCGGACACTGAGGTCCAGCTCCGAGGGCCTTCTGGCGGTTCCCTCACTGTGAGAAGTGAGGTTATAGGAAACCAGGCAGAGGGCCTTCTCGGTAGTGGCGCCCGCCCTGTGAAACGCCCTCCCACCAGATGTCAAGGAAATAAACAACTACCTGACATTTAGAAGACATCTGAAGGCAGGCCTGTTAAGGGAAGTTTTTAATGTGTGACATTTTAATGTATTTTTAATCTTTGTTGTAAACCACCCAGATTGTCTGGGGAAACCCAGCCAGATGGGCGGGGTACAATTATTATTATTATTATTATTGAACTAAAAACTCATATTTATTTTTTAATTAAATTTATATGCCACCCTTCCTCCCAAAGGAGTCCGGCCAGCCAACAAACAAGAAGGGATAAAGCAATTTAAAAAGCTATTTATAACACATATAGGGCCTAGGAACGGTGAGGAAATATGGATAGGCTGAGGGCTTGGAAACTAAGGAGGAAGTACTCCAGGAATGTAAGGAAGATTAGAAGTGGAGACAAAATGGATAAAGGAAGGTAGTGCTGGAGTAGGCAGTGCTGTAAGTTGAAGCCACCTTAGGGAAGGCTAATTGCAAGGCAAAAATCTGAGTAAAACAAGAGCAGAGAAGATAAGTAGTTGAGGCAGTGCTGTAGTTATTGAGGGTGGGTAGCTGGGATTTTTGCCCCAGATGAAGCCTCCAGAAGGGTGCCATTGAGGCTCCTAGCCCCCCTCTCTGTGTGTGTGTACGCAAATGGGTGTAGGTGTGCCAAACTGGGTCTTTGACCCGGGTGAAATAAAGCCTAGTTTTGCCCATAGTTGAGGAAAGGAAGACCTAGTGAAGAGGGTGGTTGAGAATTTTGCTACTACTTGGCAGAGATTGGGAGTGTAGAATTGCAGAGTTGGAAGGGACCACAAGGATCACCTTTGTCCAACCCCCTGCAATGCAGGGATCTTTTTGGCTCTGCTGACTGTCCGATCTGACAGCAGGCGGGAAGGTGACGTCGGGATGGTGCATGACTAACGCACGCACCGCCCCCATGCGACGCCACAGCCAGTACAGCGCCCGCCACAGTGGGGAGTGTCAGGGCGCACAATGCGCCTCCTCCACAATGGACTACAGTTCTGCCTTCAATACAATTCTGCCAGACAGGTTATTTCTTAAAATGACCAATTTGGGTATACATCAGAAGATCTGTCTGTGGGTAAGGAATTTCCTGACTGATAGGCCGCAGACAGTGAGAATGGGACCTTACTATTCTTCTACTCTAGTATTAAGCACAGGAGCCCCTCAGGGATGTGTGCTAAGTCCCTTTCTCTATTCCCTGTACACATTTGATTGCACCCCACTGTATAAGTCCAACACAATCATCAAATTTGCGGATGATACAACAGTGGTGGGGCTCATTAGTGAGAACGATGAGACTGCTTATAGGAAAGAAGTACAGGGGTTAATTCAATGGTGTAAAGAAAACAATCTTATGCTTAACACAAAAAAACCAAAGAACTCATAATTGACTTTAGGAGAAAGAAAAGTGTATTTTTACCATTGCACATAAATGGCGAGGAGGTGGAGAGGGTTGGTAGTTTTAAATACCTGGGCATTTATATCTCTGAGGACCTCTCATGGACTGCAAATATTAATATGGTTGTGAGGAAGGTGCAGGGGAGGTTGTATTTCCTGAGAATGCTCAGGGGACTGAATCTATCTCAGCACCTACTTCTGTCCTATTATCACAGTACCATCGAGAGTGTCTTAACCTATAGTATATTATCGTGGTATGGGAGCAGCTCTGAAACGGATAAAAAAGCTTTACAGAGAATAATTAAAATTGCCCAGAATGTTATTGGGCTCCAACTACCAACCCTGGATGAGATCTTCACGTCTCGCACTTTGAAGAAGTCACACAATATCCTGAGAGATCCCACCCATCCTGCTCACAACTTCTTTGAACTGTTGCCTTCGGGCAGAAGATATAGGACAATGAAAACACGAACCACACGCCTTCTGAATAGTTTCTATCCAAGAGCTCTGATTGCACTAAATAATGATCTCAGGGCCAGTTGCAAGAAATAGCAAGCAGGGAGTAGGAAGGAATGAGATGGATTTTAGGTTATGTTATGCCTTTAATAGGTTATGTTATATTCTGGATTATGTTATGTTTTTATAGATTATGTCTGAATAGGATGAGAGTGTTGGAGATACGTGCAAATGTGTATGTGAACCTGGTCTTTGGGTGGGTGTTTGATTTTCGTTGTTGTGTATACTGTGTATATACGGACAATGACAATAAATTTATCTATCTATCTCCCCTCGCTAGTATCTGCCCCGGAGCCGCGGCAAAGGTGTAAAAGAGCCACATGCGGCTCCGGAGCCGTGGGTTGCAGACCCCTGAACTAGGCTCTCATCCAGGCAGTGAACCCAGCTGAGAAAAAACGTGCTTTGGCATGTGTGTGTAGGGGGAGCGGGTTGCAGTTCCATCAAAATCAGCAGTAGGCAATGATGATTTAGCTCTTCTCTAAAAACCCGAATCCTCCTTCTTTCTATGTCATTGAGCCTGGCCAAGTTTAAATGAACAGGCTGGCTGCTGTTACATGTCACTTCAGTCTTCATTTCAGAGGGCAAAAGTTATCAATGACTGCTGAAATTTATTTTGAATATCTAAATTGAAAAAAATTAGTAGAATTTGCCAAGTAGAAGCAAAATCCAAGGGGTTCCAGAAGCTCACCCACGGTTGTGTTTGCATTGGGAAAATTGAGGCACAGCAGAGGTTAGCGTCTTTAAGAACTATGGTTTATTTTACACATATTTACACCTAAAGTCCTCATAGGAGGGAGTGCAGAACATTATACCCCAAGGATGTATCTCATTGCCCCTTTCATAAATTGAAAATTGTCTAAACTGCACCTTTTGTACACCAACTGCAAGCTGGTGAACAAAAAAAACAAAAACTAATATCAATACAACATTTTAAAAAATCAAAACACCACAATAAAACCATAGAAACAACAACAACTGATCTAGCCAGCTAAGGCTATATGTTACATTTTTTAAGTCTGGGCAAATAAAAGCATCTTAATGTGGTGCCAAAATAATGCAGTGTCTGTGTCCACCTTACTCCCTTTGAAATATATTTATTGTCATTGTTAGCAGCTCAAACACTTACAAGGTTTAACTTCAATGTACTGTGATAAAACTGAAAGGGGACCCACTGAATTGATGGTAAACTGAATAGGCTAGGAGCTGCTGTTTTATTGTGTATGCTTGTATTTTAATAACTAGCATGGTTCTCTGTTATTTTGCGTGTCGTTGTGATAACCTTGGGAACAAGACATAATGTTGATGGTGCCATTGTAGGCAATGCCTTAAATCAGGCCCACGTCCCATAGGCCCATCTTTCCTGACTTCCAGCGGCCTGCTGGTGGAATTCTAAATGACTTGTGATTCTTTTCACTTCCTTGCAGGTGACCATGCGTTTTAGCACCTGAACAGCAAAATGAGTAGGCACAAAGCTCACCTGGTCACAGTCTTCCCAACTATGGTGAGAAGGGCTGAAATCCTATTTAAATGTCTAAATCTATTGCATTTATACAAATGATTCTATGCATATTTTATGTAAATCTGCGTCTTCCTTTTGCCTCTTCTTTGGGTGACCTGTTTCCTCTTTTTATTGTGATGAGGTGAAAATGGCTACCGTATAGGGCTCTCCAAGGCCAATCAAACATGGAGGAGGAAGGAAAGAATTGCTGCGTTATATCATCTGCATTGCTCCCCTTCTCTTTGGATTTACGGTGTGGTTGGCCACTGGTGGCATCATTTGCAACCTGCTGCAAACAGCCAACCGGCACCAGTATGTGAACTGTTGGGAGTATTCATGTTTTTGAGTTACTCCTTCTGAACTCAGCAAGGAGTATTGGTGGGGTGGGGAGAGAGGACATAAAAAGTAAAGGGAACTGGCACATGGCTCGGAAAGTTCTTCAGGTTGTGAAAAAGAGAAAAGGGGAGTAGCTGAAAGACCTGTGGTGATGTGCACTGGATAATGAAAGTTTGAATGTGCACTGGGGAGAGAAGGATGGGAAGACTTCAAAGAGACGAGGTAAAAGATAAGAGTATGATACAGCAGAGAGAGAGAGATGATTTATGGGGAACAGGTTAAAGAGAGAACACAGCATGGAGTTTTTTGAACTATAACAAAATGGGACCCCTTATTTAGTTTGTGGTTACAGGTTTGGAGAATGCTGTTGCAGCACCAACAATGAGGTAAGATTCAGCTTCTGCTACTAACAATTTCTGTATGTGGGGTGGAGGGGCACAGCATTTTGTCCTTAGGCTGAAGTAGGAACCTATCTTTGGCTAGCCTTGGGTATACAGCTAAAGTTCCTCTTCAATGAAGTATTACGATTCAGGCTGATAATTACACCAACCATTTTGGATTATCACATGTGACCTCAATCAGCAGATATCACATACCCATAAACTAGAAAGAGGCATATATAATTCTATGCGTCCTGTCGAAAAATTCATAGAACTCATTTGAACTTCTACCGGAACAAACTTCTTCTGTTACATACATACAAATCTAGAGCAACCAATGTTTCTCTACTTAACCCCAATAACCCCATAAGTCTTTAGACTGCAAAAACATACAATTTAAAAAGTTGGAGACTTACCATTACTTTGAGCTTTCAGCGTGCAGCCTGGAAAAGCAAAAGGAACATTGTAAAAAAAAGTATAAAAGTGAGGGTTTTGTTTTGTTTTGTTTTTACAAAAAATTGAGATGCTCAGCCCTTAACTTACAGTGCAAGAAGATTAGCAGCAAAACACAATACATCTCTTCATCGGAAAGCAGACATGAGACTCCAAAATGAAGAAATTGTCATTAGTTCTGGTAGCTCCCTTCTTCAAGGATCTTCAGTTATGAAGAACTTTCAGTTTATTTTCTGAAAGTAAAAGGTCTGGCAGTGCAGTTTCACTGAAGAAGTGAGCAGCTATGTTTTCCAGGACCCTAACACCAACTGGCTAGATATTGGTCAAGTAATCATGCCCATTACTGGAAACTGGAAGTGGCAAACAATGAGGATCTCTCTGCTGCAAACAGGCAGATTACTGCTCAGGAAATGACAGGCCTTTTCCTGAGGGAGTCAGTGAACGCATTTGCTTTGTTCAGTTTCTTAAGGTATATGGAAAACAAGAAGTACCAGTGACATTTTTCCGGTGACTCTGTTCATTAGTTTACAATCACTCTTCAACTGTTTAAAGATAGCAATGTTCTTTTTATTTCATTTCATTTCCCAAGGAATAATACACTGGATACTCATGTTATATATACAGTATTGTATAAAGTTTTCTTCGAAGTTACATATAGCTAAGCCATATATGCTGTTTTTGAAGCCAGTTGTTACATGAAACGGGTTGGAACTTTATAGGGAGCAATAACCAAGAATGCTTTCAGCAGTGAGGCTAAGGACAGTCTTTCCTCTAACTTTTTGAAATTAAATCACGAAGATGTGCAATGTGTTGTTGTTTTTTTAGTGTGAATGCGTGCAAATTGAAAGGAACACCAGCAATTTGCTATGTCCTAGACTAAAAGAAGAGTACATAGGGTTTCAAAAATGTTAAGTTTAGCAAGTGGAAACCCCAGTATCTTTTGTTTCCCTCCACACTCTCTCCCACACCCAGCATATGGCCTGGATCAAGACATGTTTGTTTTAGCTGAAGTCAATTTTTCCACAGGCTCTGCTAATCGGAGTTTGTGTACTATCACTCCCCGGTTACTTCACAACCGTTTGCAACGCCTGCGTGCAAAGTTTATATACAGCCTCTTCAAATTCATGACATGTCTCCAAAATCTACCCTATTTGAATGAAACTAAGACACAAAAAAAGACAGAAGGGGAAGAGGAGATAAAAATAAGAGCTCACACATAAGAGATATGTGTTCTATTTTATGGGTCAGTGGGATAAATCCTTAAAACTACGGAACGGGTGGGATGGGAAAGAAATCAATATTTTTAAAAACAACACTGGTCTCCTGTGCTCTCAAAAACAAAACAAACCGAAAAAGCGCTACTGTGATAGGAATTTTGAGGTCTTAAATATATGGTTATGTTCATAAGCGTACCAACCAAGCAAGTACATAGATCAGCACAGGAAGACCGACCGACCTGGAACCATTTTGATTCCTAAACTGAGCAAAATGTTTTCTCTGCAAGGTCAAAGTGGGAAACTCCCCATTGTCTCTTTCCTCACAAATCCTGTCTTAAGGGCACATTTAAGATATGAATAGGGTGTGAACCTGTGACATGGCCCAGGAACTAAGTATTTATCATTACAAAAGACTGGCCAGGTTATCCAGGCAATCCAATCAAGTAACCTGCCAGACAGGAGATAAACAACAACAGGAGAAAAACAACATTCAAATTTCTGTTTTAAGACTGCCTTTTCTGTGATGTAGGTGTGATGTATCTGAGGGGTGGTCTTAGGTTACACCCCTTCTGTGATGTAGGTATGATGTTTCTGGGGGTGGTCTTGATCTACAGGGTGGCAATTTCAAAAGTCTTTATAAGGCCTTGAGCGCCATTTTTCTGGGTTCCTCCTCCGCTCCTGCGGGTGCAACAGATCAATAAAGATCAAGCTTACTAGCTGCTTTGCTTCTCAATATTCTCTGGTTGGCCTCTGTTATTCTCTCCTACCAATAGGGAACCTATGTGAGGACACTACAGTGGCGTAGCGTGGGGGGTGCAGGGGGGGCCCGGCCGCACCGGGCGCAACATCTGGGGGTTAGGGTTAGGGGGCGCAAATCCACGGGTTAGGGGGCGCAAATTACTTGCCTTGCCCCGGGTGCTGACAACCCACGCTACGCCACTGGGACTCTATATGGGCTCTTGGATACCCCATAAGGGGAAAGGGCAATTTTTGTATATAACAGTACCCTGGAACATCTTACCACTTGGGGAAGTGCAAAACAGTATTTGAGCCTAGTTTGCACCCAGCTTTAAACATATGTAAGTGTTTGCTTCCTCTCGCCTCCTGATTGTGCTGGGTCAGGGAAAAACCAAGCCTGACTCTAACTTATTTTCTGATAAGTGAGCTCAGGCTGATACTTCATTTCTCTCCAAACAAACCACAAGTGGAAGCCTAGCTACATTCTTGACTTACCGCTTATGGTTCACTTGGAGGAGACTAACCAAGAATTCGGGCTCCCAAGCCAGAATTATAGACATAGAATTGCTTTTGCAGAAGAACCTGGTGGTGGCATGTGTGTTTCAATTTTTTTGATATATATTCACAGTTGTTAAAGGTAAAGGTACCCCTGCCCATACGCGCCAGTCTTGACAGACTCTGGGGTTGTGCGCCCATCTCACTCAAGAGGCCGGGGGCCAGCGCTGTCCGGAGACACTTGCGGGTCACGTGGCCAGCGTGACAAAGCTGCATCTGGCGAGCCAGCGCAGCACACGGAAACGCCGTTTACCTTCCCGCTAGTAAAAAGGTAAAGGTACCCCTGCCCGTACGGGCCAGTCTTGACAGACTCTAGGGTTGTGCGCCCATCTCACTCAAGAGGCCGGGGGCCAGCGCTGTCCGGAGACACTTCCGGGTCACGTGGCCAGTGTGACATTGCTGCTCTGGCGAGCCAGAGCCGCACACGGAAACGCCGTTTACCTTCCCGCTAGTAAGCGGTCCCTATTTATCTACTTGCACCCGGGGGTGCTTTCGAGCTGCTAGGTTGGCAGGCGCTGGGACCGAGCAGCGGGAGCGCACCCCGCAGCGGGGATTCGAACCGCCGACCTTCCGATCGGCAAGCCCTAGGCGCTGAGGCTTTTACCCACAGCGCCACCCGCGTCCCTTCCCGCTAGTAAGCGGTCCCTATTTATCTACTTGCACCCGGGGGTGCTTTCGAACTGCTAGGTTGGCAGGCGCTGGGACCGAGCAGCGGGAGCGCACCCCGCCGCAGGGATTCGAACCGCCGACCTTTCGATCGGCAAGCCCTAGGCACTGAGGCTTTTACTCACAGCACCACCCGCGTCCTCACAGTGGTTAGGTTAGGATAAAAATACAAATGCCTAAATGCATACAACTCACAAAATCCAGAAGGCTTCACGATACCCGTTCGACCCACCCTACAAAAATACTCCTGCCTCTTGGTTCAAGAGAAGTAAACTTTGGAGAAAGAGAAAGAATGGGCTACAAACTCAAAAGGCACCCCATTAAGAGTTGCAAAATCAATATAGTTTTAAGCTGTAATGTACATTAGCCCTTGGCAGTATAAATCAAGGAAGTCTCACAAAGCATGGCCTTTGTTCTCATAGCCTTCCCTGTTTACATAAAGCGTCCTTTGTTTCTCTTGTGCTGAGTGGGAAGTGTTCTTCCCAAATCCATAAGTTCAGGTGTAATCTGTGCTAGAGCCTTTCTGTTACACACATTTCTGTGGCATTTTGCAACAGGAAGCAGGAAGGAAATATTATGGGTAACAAGGTCTAGCAAAGTACCCTAGTCACAATTTTACAATAAAAAAATAACACAGTAGCCATAGCAATGAACGACCAGGAAGCAACTTTAGGAGGCTTGTTAGCATGATGTTTGTTCCTTATCCTGATTTTCTTTAAATATACTTATCACACAGCTTTGAAACACTGGCCACATGCCATTTTACCTCTACACAGTGAGGCAGAAGTCAAGGAGCAGACACAGACCACCCCCACTCAGGGACAGAGGGAGAGAGCGCCATACAGTGGTTAGAGCAGGGGTAGCCAACATGGTGGTTTCCAGAGGCTGCTGAACTCCAAATCCCATTATCCACAACTGGCATAGGGCTTATGCACACCTACCTTTCCCTCCATGCTTTCCAAGCACGGTTCACGCTTTAAAACTCTGTGTCTGAACTCACACACACACACACACCCCGGAACTTTCCCTATGAAAATCTGCTCTTTAAAGCTCGTTCAGAGCAAATGGCAATCCACTCGAGAGCAAAACAAGGGGGCACTCAGACACACAAGTGTGGGCCTGTGCCTGGAAAAGCAGGGCAATAGGTAAGTGTGGATAAGCCCATAGCTAAAATAGTTCAACAAAATATGGAGGGCACTAGATGGGCTTCCCCTGGCTTAGAGTGTTTAACTAGTGTCCATTCAAATTTCCACTTAGCTATATATCTCACTGAGTGATCTGGAGCCAGTCACTATCTCTCAGCTTAGTCTACTTCACAGGGTTGTTGTGACAATAAAATGGGGAAATAGTATGTTATTGTTGCTATTATTATGATTATATTTATTGAATTTATATATAATTTACTATATTAATTTACTGTATTATATACAGTGGTACCTCGGGTTAGAGACGCTTCAGGTTACAGACTCCGCTAACCCAAAAATAGTGCCTCGGGTTAAGAACTTTGCTTCAGGATGAGAACAGAAATGGTGCTCCGGCGGTGCGGCGGCAGTGGGAGGCCCCATTAGCTTAAGTGGTGCTTCAGGTTAAGAACAGTTTCAGGTTAAGAATGGACCTCCGGAACAAATTAAGTTCTTAACCCGAGGTACCACTGTATTAATTTACTTTATATATAAAGTAGTTTTTATACTACTGTATTTTGAGTTCTTTGGAGGTGGGGTATAAATGTAGTAAATAAAATGCCAATTCTGTATGAAGTTCTGAACTATTTTAAAATTGCTCAAATAAGAAAACTAAACCAATCCTTCTATATAACAAATATTGAATAACACAGAATAGGTGTAGATTTTAATCTGTAAAATTCCCACTTTTTTTTTTTTAATCCAGGCAAAAAAGAGTGGGAAAATCTGGAACTGATCTTAATGTTGCAGACACCAGAAAGAAAGGGAAATACATACAGGGAGCGCACAATTACCTCTTGCAATGACACTTCACTTCAAGCACGAAGAACAAGAATCAGAAACTTTTCCCCACTGGTAACAAGCACAAGAATGAAAAGTATTTAAAAACAATACAGATTGAGGAATGCCAGTTTCCCCAAGACCGCTAACCTGCTGCGTGAAAACAATCAAGTACGAATCATCAGCTGGAAGCCTGAATGAGATCCGGCAGGGAGAGTTGTGCTGTTAACAA